ATGTTGAATCTGACATCCCAATGTTGTAGGACAAACACAGCATGACCTCGGAATCCAAATATAGCTCTAATGGGAACTGTACTTAAAAATTATATTTAGAATATCTAGCTTGTTCCCTATGGACTAGAATATGTGTGACCCATACAGAAATGTTTATATCACATTGGAACACTATGTGTAAATAATACGTGTTGCACATGCGGTGGAGATCCTTAATCATGTATGTGTGTCTATGACGTATATATTTAGCAAAACTGATAGTTGCATTTTCCCATCATTTGGGTCACAGATCAAGTGAGAAGAACTAACTAAGGGAATATTAGCAATAATAAATCTATTTATTTAATCACTATCTATCTATCTATCTATCTAAAGACATAATATATAGATTGTTTTCACTACTTTTGTTTTTCCCTCTATTTATTACTTTTCACTTAATCTGTGAATAAAATTAATATTTAGTGACTGCCCCTTAGACACAAGACATCAATCGTCCTTTTTCTCATCAGTCATACATGTTTAGCACATGTCTCTTTAAGAAAACCAATTATATCCCAAGAAGTATAAGGGTATGTGTTTAAAATGTCCTATTGAAACCACAAGTAAAATAATACTGAGCATTGTACAAGCAATAGAACAATGACATTTGTAAGAACATAGCATCATTACTGTACGGATCATTGCAGCACCAATTTAAACGTCCCTGCCGTGGTTATAGGGGACTTTGTGGTAGGGGGTGTAGGGTCAGGTGATAGAGATTAAGATGCTATCATTCTGAAAAAATCAGCGTCTGGTTGAAAGTGGTGGAAGGTATGGTCCACAGAATTTACTTTGTCCATGAGACTTAGTGTACACACCACTGTAGCCTCACGTTTTAAGGATCCACCTGTTAGCTCTCTGCACTTTGCTACAATAACACTATCTTAAAGTCAACATTTTAATGTAAACATTTTGTAAAGTGACCCAGCACATGAGACATGCTATTTGAAGTAATTTGACACCTTGCCAAATTCCAAGCATTGCTAATAGAGCGAAATCGTATACTGACTGGCTGAATCCACAAAAGCTGTATTTCAGTAAAAGCTATGGTTTTGTTTTATAGCTTTTACCAACCCAGGAATGTTAATGATTAATCATTAATGATAATTTACTATGAGTGCATTGATATCTGGCATTTTATCATCTGGCTAATAGCATCCATGAATTTCATCCATGCTACTCACCATCTTTACCTCTTTAAAAAAGAAAGAGCCTTTTCCTTACTTTTCTCAATTACAAAATGTTTACTTTTCTATGTTTTCCCTCAGCTCTTTCATTGTCCTATAATTTGAATTATGTGTGTTACTCTGCAGTAGTCAAACAAGTGTTTTGTTTACTTTCATATACTTTGTGAATGTTTTACATGTGCAATTATTTCCTTTGTCTCTATTAATAATTTTAAAAATAATAATGTATTAAAATACATATTTGAATGAAATTTGTTTAAAGGAACAGTAACAGCCTATCCCCAAAATGGTTCACTTGGCCCTGACAAAACTGAGCCCTGACTTTCTCAGCTGCAGTACAAACTTTAATCTCTTTTGGTGTGACTAAATCCCTATGTGTTTGTTCTTGAGATAGTTGATTTTAAATAGCCATCTGAGATTTAAAACTATATTTTTGCGTGGGCTGTTCCCTCAACATGCATTGTGTGTACATTTCATTCTTTTTAGCAACATCACTTTTAATAAATATCTGTTCTGATTAACAAAATTCTTTACTGTTAAAATACTAAATATTTGGAATCTTGACCAGACTCCTTGTTGAACTCGACAACTCACTCTACATTTAGCAAATGGCGCATATTGAATAATTGTGTAGCACAAACATCAGCATGTTTCTTCCTGTGCCTAGTATTTAGTGAATATTGTGTCAACTCTTGTTAATTATTGTGTTCTAAAGGAGAGCTGTCATTTATAAAAGTACATTTATAAATTCACAGCTCTTTGTCTTGCAGTTGGGTGCTTCCACCTTAGATCCCTGTCAATCGTTATAAGCTCTGTCCTTTGCATCTAGCAGTCAGCATAGAGAAAGACTACACCGAAGAGAAGAAATAAAACAATGCAGGAGATTTATCGAAGTGTTCTGTTCTAAATAGTGGCCAAAAACACTAAAAGTAAGGATCGAAATCAGTGGAACCAGCAGGCACATTCCATTGGTGACTATTACCCTATTACATTTTTAGATCGGAATTATTTGCTAAATCTCCCCCAATGCTATTTCTCCTCCTAATTTGCATTATTACCGAGCCTTGACTGAACTGGAATGTGATTGCTAAATCTTTAATAGAAATTTTAAAGAAAACAGAGTATCACATGAAAAAGTTAAATTGTCAATGTTTTATTAAATGGTGCAATTTTTTTTTAACAATTTTACACGAGGAAGAGCTTTATATTGTATGGATATCAGTGGCGGTTCTAGACTTGGCAAGGCCTTAGGCGAAACCCATACATGAGACCCCCACTAACACCATTATTGAAAAAAATAGCAGTTCATTTATGTGTGTATAAGAAGCTATAGATATATTGAAGGGGTAGCTTGCAGCACTGGATATAGAGAGCTAGTCTTTGTATACATCGTTGCATTGTCTACCTGTGTGTGCCTGACAGAGTGTATGGAGGGGGGTGACAGTGTGTATGGAGGGGAGTGTAAATGTGTATGGAGGGGTGACAGTGTGCGCAGAGAGTGGTGTCAGTGTGCGCGGAGAGTGGTGACAGAGTGTGAGGAGATGACATAGTGTAGGGAGGTGACAGAGTGTGAGGGGTGGTGACAGAGTAAGAGGGGGTGACACTGTTGTAAGAGGGGTGTGACAGTGTGTGAGGGTTATATTAGTGCAAGGGGTGTGACAGAGCGAGAGGGGGTGACAGAGTGAGAGGGAGGGTGACATAGTGAAGGTGGGTGACAGAGTAAGAGGGTGGGTGACAGTGTGAGGAGGGTGACAGAATAAGAGGGGGTGACATAGTGTATGGGGGTGAAAGTGTGAGGTGGGGTGACATAGTGTGTGTGGGGAGCGACAGGGTGAGGTGACAGAGTAAGGGGGGGGACATAGTGTGAATGGTCACAGGATGACAGAGTACGAGGGAGTGACAGGGTGAGAGAGGAGTGACCTAGTGTGAGAAGGGGGGAGACCTAGTGTGAGAGGGAGGGTGACATCGTGTAGGAGGGTGACAGAGTGTGAAGGAGTGGCATAGTGTGAGAGGGGGGTGACCGTGTTAGAGGGGGTAACCTAGTGTGTGAGGGGGGAGACCTAGTGTGAGAAGGGGGAGATCTATTGTGAGAGGGAGGGTGACATAATGTAGGGGGGGTTGACAGAGTGGGTTGACATAGTGTAGGGAGGTGCCAGAGTGTGAAGGTGTGACAGAGTAAGAGGAGGGTGACATTAGTGTGAGGGGGGGTGACATTAGTGTGAGAGGGTTACATTAGTGTAAGGGGCTGACAGAGTGAAAGGGTGGCAGGGTAAGAGGGGGTGACAGGTGGGGTGGCAGGGTGAGAGTGAGGTGACAGGTGCGGTGGCAGGGTGAGAGGGGATGACAGGTGGGGTGACAGGGTGAGAGAGGGGTGACAGGTGTGATGGCAGGGTGACAGGTGGGGTGGCAGGTTGAGGGGGGTGACAGGTGGGGTGGCAGGGTGAGAGGGGGTGATAGGCAAGGCCGGACTGGCCCACCGGGATACCGGGAAATTTCCCGGTGGGCCGCGGCACCTGGGGGCCGGCCGCGTTCCTGGCTGGAGCCGCCGGGCCGAGTGGCAGCTTCCCCGGTCCGGCGGCCCTGCTCCTCTCACTGCCAGGGGCGGGCTGGGCCGGGAGGCAGGGAGGCAATTGCCCCCCAGGCCGCCCTAAATTCCTGTAAGACCGGCCGCTGCGGGCTGGCCCTTTATATACTGCAGCCGCCCGAGCGCTCTGTTAAGAGCCTCAGGCGGCTGCAGCTTCTCCCCTGTAGCGTGGCCGAGCTGCATTCCGGTCCGCGGTGGCCGGACGGAGTGATAGGAAGGCGCACGCTCAGTGTGCACCTTCCTGTCAGTCCGACCGGGTACAGGAAACAGAAACTCCTGTTCCGCGCGGAACAGGAGTTTCTGTTTCCTGTCCCCGGTCGGACTGACAGGAAGTGCGCACTGGGTGTGCACCTTGCCTACACCCCGGCCGGCCGGCCACCGCGGACCGGAGGTGCAGCTCGGCCACGCTACAGGGGAGAAGCTGCAGCCGCCGGAGGCTCTTAACAGAGCGCTCAGGCGGCTGCAGTATTTAAAGGGCCGGCCCGCCGCGGCCGGCCTTACAGGAATTTAGGGCGGCCTGGGGGGCAATTGCCTCCCTGCCCCCCGGCCCAGCCCGCCCCTGCCTATGACCAATAGACATCTGAGTCTAGATCTTCAGCAGTGTTCCTCTGTGTTTGGCACATGTGTTCTAATGTATTCCTATTATGGCAGGGCTTGAGAAATTGCATATATTTTTTCCACGTGGCTATGAAAAAAATAGAGTGGTTAAGTAGACATTGCTCTACTTAATACTAGTATATGACATCTTTATGAACACTTGATTTCCCACTCAAGTAAGTATATTGTGCTACCGAGTATGATGTATAAGGTTCCCTGTTTTTGTGTCTGTGTCCTTTAGCATATAGTTTTTGAAAACTATTATGATTCCTGGATTTCTGAACAGAATTTGTGAGCTTAGGTGAAGATGCTCTAAAGACTGTCACATCATGTATCCCAGCCTGACACAGGATGTTTTAATATATTGCATATGTTATCAGGTCTTCTTCGGCATGTTGCATTTGCTATAAGGCCAATTCAATGTGTTGCTTACCTAACTCAACTTCATTTGCATCATGAACTCTCTAGTTAATATTTAGAAGTCTGTCAGTTGGATCGTGTTTATATTGTAAATGTAGACCATAAAAATGATTTTTTGATCTCCCTGCCAGCACAAGGAGGCCAAGTAAGAATCAGAGCTCCATCCTGCTCTTATGTCCCTTCAAGTGGCACTTAGAGCATATGCCATGTCTGCTGTACCCCTAGGTACATCACCAAATGTCCCATAACCTAATTATACTTATCATGAAGCCCAGGAAAGATTCCTAGTAGTGTTAGTTCAGCTAAAAGCTGTCACAAGTATAAAGATGCTAAACTGAAGTACCATAATGACCAGCTGTGAGGAGGAGGTTGTGCACAGGGAGATTTTTAATGTGCAAGACAGACACCCCCATTTTCCTGTAACCAAAGCAGCTCTGAGCTAAACTTACTGTTTAAATTCCATAGACCAGATGAAGAGGCTGCTGATTGGCCAAGATACTTCTAGAAGTGAAAAGTCTGTTTTAATCTTTTTTTGTAGATTGCAACACTAACTCATTTGTGAACTACAATTAAAGATGCAAAATAAATACACCTAACATAGCTGTATGTTCTTTCCTCTAAATAACAGAGAGTGACCTGTGCTCTTCCATCACGTAATGTGAGGTTGTTTCAGGCCATGGATCAAGGACCTCATTGTAGAAATTAACTTGTATTTATTTGTGGGAATTTCACCAAATGAACTAGGAGTCATATGATGTACATTTGTGGTGGACAAATAACAGTTGTCACGTAAATCATTCTTGCAACTAACAAGTATTTTATTTTGTTCTCTTTAGACTCACAGCTGTATTGTGGCCCAAGTCTAGATTTTCCGTCAGTTTATCTGCCTCTGGGAGAGGAAGAACATGACTTTGTAGTAAACGTTACCGTTCTTGTTACATCCAACTTTGGGCATTCAGTCAACACAACTGTGAAAGCTAAGGTGAAGTATTACTCTTTACTAAAATGTGACATCTGTAAAATAATTACACTGATTTGAAGTGGTTATGGTGCTTGGATACAATATGTGCAGAGTTTCACTATACAGGTGCAACTTCAACCTCAGCAGTCATTGGGGCATCATTAGCTAGCCTGGAGCAGGAGTTCGAGGCTTGCTATTGTCAGTTCTGCACATGTTTGGTGTCTGATGTAAGCACGCACAGCATGCTAGTGACAGACAGCCAATTGGGACACCCCTACTGCCTATGTCCTCACCTCAATCCACTGTCCCTGACATCCACCCTGTTCCAGCACCGTCAATAGAGGTGGATCGGGCTGCTGGGAGATCTTCACCTTAGTGCTGGAACGTAGGTGCATTTGAGCTATTTGGGTTATGGATCCCCTTGTTAAAAAAAATAAATAAAAAAAATTAAAAGTTGCAGAAAGCACCTAAATGTACCTAATCTTGCACTGAGACAACCTCTCTCTGCTGCCTGATCTATCCACTTTGAGAACATGATTTGTGATCCAATGCTTTTCATAAAATCAGCCATTAGAGGCATGTGTCCCTAACATTGCCGTATCTCAGAAAACGCAACTTTGAACATTATCCAGAAAAAAGAGACCGCATCTCTGCATCAAAACCAATACATTAAAAGGACACTCTAAGAACCATAATCACATCATCTCAGTGAAATAGTATGGATTACCTGTCTACTTTAAACATGTGAAATATCAAAACATATCTCTTTTATACCTTCCAGGTCAAACATGATGAGACAAACGCTAACAGACAAATCCTGGCATCATATGTGGCCGAGAATTCACGTAACATTTTGAAAAAGGGACCTACTGGTTCTTCATTAATCCAGCTATATAAATCAGTATCTTCTGTCCTAAATCAGGAGATGCCCGCATTCAGACAAAATTCGTCATGGCAAAGAGACAACAATAAAGAGGTTTGTCCAATTTGCAGACAGAGATCGCTAAGTTATGTTTCTTTGTAGTTTATTAATTATTGGTTTAAATCTCTTTTTTTTTTTCAATTTGACAATTTTTATTTTGTCATATTTAAGAGGGTAGGGGTACAGAAAGTAGAAAAAGGGGGGTGGGGGGGAAAGGTCCCCATCAAATTACAGTTATACAGTAATGCTTTTCATTAGATCGGTCATTGACATAACAATCATGGTATTGCACTTGAACATAATTCCTTCATAATAAACAGGTCTTTGCGTTCATGAAGTCCTTTAAGGGACATCTCTGCCGTCATCTATTGTTGCGCTAACATGGTTCCTGCATCATGTGGCGATCCCTTGCCGTAGCGCTTATACCTGTGTCAGGTTGTGCCGTGTGCATGTGTAGCGTCTTCCCTCCTGCCTTAGTGGTTCCCCTACCTCTAGGCCGTTAAGAGCTGGTTTAGTGTCCCTTTGAGTGTTCCAGAGAACTTTGCGCCTCTAAGGGTACCCTGTCCCTTGTTCTGTTCCCTGCTCGGGAGCTGTATGGCCCGTTTCTCTCTTGGGGGGGGGGAGTGGAAGGTTGGCTCGTTCATTAGTCTGTGTCCCACTGTGCCTGTGATGACGGGAGTGGTGTGCCCCTGTTGTCTACCTGTCGAAGAGGCATTCTGGAGGGGGTAACTGGGATAACATACTAACTAACTCGTGTGTCTTCGTTGGTTTGGTTTATGTTGTCTGTTCGGATCTATTTTGTCCTGTTCGTTGGCCCCTCGTCAGTTGCTAGGGTCTCTGCCTGCTGTGTACTTGGCCCAGAGTGTTTTCGCTGTGGCGTTTCTTTTACCCACTTTTGTTTGGCTCCACATTATTCCTTCATAATCTAAGGTTGTCGTAACCATTGATACTACCTCTGCTGGGGGTGGGATTTTTGGGGTTTTCCATTGTTTTGCTAGTGAGGTGGAGGCTGACGTTAGTATTAGAAATATTAGTTTGGTGATGCATTGTGGCGTGCCTTTAGGTAGAAGTTGGAGTAGGAATGTTTCTGCATTGTGGTCTAGTATGCACCCTGTGACCCCTTGAATTAGTGCTGCTATTTGTTTCCAGTATGGCTGGACTAGTGCGCATGTCCACCAGATGTGGAGCATAGTCCCTTCCTGTGTCTTGCATCTCCAGCATCTGTCACTTATGTCTGGGTATATTTTCTTGAGCCGTGAAGGCACCATGTACCATTTATATATTAATTTGCGCGAGGTCTCGATGTGGGAAGCACAGGTTGTGAGTCCCTTGTGGTTTGTGTGGATGCATTGCCAGTCGTCTTGTGTGAGAGACCTGCCTATGTCCCTATGCCATTCTGTCTGGTATCTCCACTCCGTCTCGGTTTCACTCTCAGTGATTGACTTATAGCACACAGACAGCGTCTTTTTAGTTGGGATTTGGTGTATGCACATCTTTTCGAAAGTGGTTAGGGTGGTGGGGTGTGCAGGTGGGGGGCTTTGTCTTGTGGCTTTGCCTATTAGTGCTTTCATCTGCCAGTATGAGAACGTGAGCTGTGGAGGTATGTTGTATGTGGCTAGTATTTCTGGCAACTGGTGTAGTCCCTGCGGGGAGCTTATCTGGTGCAAGTGTGTGATACTGGAGGCCTTCCATGTTCTGTATGGGAATGTGCTATTGTAGAGATTTATTGAGTGTAGTGGCGTTGCCATAGACCATGGTTCTGCGGAGCATAGTTTGGACCTTTGACTGTCCCATATGCGGTACAGAAGTTTAGTGGTGGGTAGGGCGTTTGGCGGTGTGCGGCGCAGTTGTTTGGGTATCCACAGGGCCGCAGGGAGATCCGTGACCCCGCTACAACTAGCCTCTATCTCTATCCATTGGGGGGTGTATGTAGTGGAGTGCATGGCAATAATGTTGGCCGTTTGTGCAGCCTGGTGGTACGCCTTAAGATTCGGGAGGCCCAGGCCTCCGTCGTCTATTGGCTTCATGAGCAACGTTCTTGGGACCCTGGGGTGTCTTCCTCCCCAGCTAAATTTAATCAGGCTAGATTGGAGTCTGTGTAGAAATGACTGCGGTAAGGGTATTTGTAAAGAGCGGAGCGGTTTAAATCTCTTTTATATTACTTTATGGAAGTCATGTAAACAGCAATGTTAAACTGCTGTCTAATATTTTAAAGCGTGTTTTTTCACACCTCTTGCAGAGTTCCGGGCTCCTTGCTTTGTGTTTTCTCTGTGTACATCTGCAGCTGCTGTTTGCTGCTTCTTGGTATATTCTCGGTATTTTGTAATCATTGTGATATAATAATGCATGTACAAGCGATGGTGATGTTCATAAATAAGGATCTCCTAAAAATAAAGAAAATCAGAAGCAGCAATCATCAGATGAAGATATTTCATTAAAAAGAGCTCTGGTACACACCTCTATGAAGGATAAAAAGGATGCTTTTAAAACCGTGGCCAGCAAAATAATAAAATAATTGGGGGACAGATAATTGTTCACCACCCTGCCAGGGACGTATTAGCCACGAGGCAAACAAGGCATTTGCCTTGGGTGGCATTTTCCAGGGGGCGGCAAAAAAAGCCACCCCCAAATGCCCAGGGCAAATGTCTTGTTAGTCTTGTGGCGGCACTGGCGAGGGAGCACTTTCCCCTGAGCTCTCTGCTCAGCTCCCTTGCGCGCCGCAGAGTGATGCCGGGAGCCGGAATATGATGTCATATTCTGGCTCCCGGCATCACTCTGCGGTGCACAAGGGAGCTGAGCAGAGAGCTTACTAAGCAGTGCTCCCTCGCCAGTGCCGCCCGCCCAGCAGCCCAGCAGCCCAGCAGCGCAGCAGCCACTGGACCCCAGGGAAAGGGAGAACCAACCCCCCCCCCAGCATTCCCAAAGGTAAGGAGGCTGGGGTGGTTGAATAAAAAAAAAAAAAATGTGAGTGTGTTAATGTATGTTAGTGTGTGTTGGTGTGTGTGTGTCTGTTAGTGAGTGTGTGTGTCTGTTAGTGTGTGTGTTAGTGTAAGTTAGTGTGTGTGTTAGTGAGTTTGTGTGTCTGTTAGTGTGTGTGTGTTTGTGTGTGTGCGTTTGTGTGTGTGTTAGTGAGTGAGTGTGTGTCTGTTAGTGTGTGTGTGTTAGTGTGTGTTAGTGTGTTTGTGTCTGTGTTAGTGTGTGTGTCTGTGTGGGAGTGTGTGTCTGTTAGGGAGTGTGTCTGTTAGGGAGTGTTTTTCTATGTATGTGTCTGTTAGTGAGAGTGTATTCGTGCCTGTTAGTGAATGTGTGTGTCTGCCAGTGACTGTATGTGTCTGTTAGTGAGTGTGTATGTCTGTTAGCTAGTGTATGCGTGTCTGTCAGTGAATGTGTGTGTGTGTATTTAGAAGGCAGGGCATGGGTGAAGGGTGGGGTGGCACAAGGGGGAGGGGATGCCTGAGTTTTGTCGTGTCTAGGGCAGCACAAAACCAGGATACACCATTGCACCCTGCCCCCACCTATGGTCAGTGGGTGGGGGAGGGCTAGTGTCCTATACATGGGTGGCGGGTGGGGACTATTATCTTAATAACCAGGGAGTACCTAATGTCCACCCATGAGTGGAGACTTATTTAATAATCAATGCTACTGTACACCCTCTCCCAGCCCTGGGAATCGGGCGGGGGTATTAAATGTGAGAAGGGGGATGGACATGCAATTGTCCACCCCCTAAAGTTAGGGCCAATTCTCTTTCTCACCTGATTGGAAAAGGGTTCCCTAAGCTATTAGCCACCCCAAATAAAAATTGTTCCACTTAAACCCTTCACTCTAATAATAGTGAGGACAGGCAATACATTTAATACATGTAAGAGAAAAAAGTATACTTGCCTTTAGAAGTATTCTTTTCTTTAGCCACCATGAAAAGGCCCAAAAAAGATGGCTTGCCATTGGGTCATTACCCGCCATGGTTGCTATGTTTATAGCCTCCTCCTGCCATCTTACCCTGCCATTTAATGAGTAGCCTCCAACTGAGAACCATGCCTCACCCACTGGCCATGGTTGAAGACAGGTAGGTGGACAGTGATCTATCCACCACCCATTTTGTCATTTAAAGTCCACATTTGATGCCCATGGGTGGTGGCACAGGGTTCCAAGTCCCCCTTGTTATTTTAAAATCCAGACCCAGATTTGAAACACCCGGGCCCAGATTTCAGCTATCCGGCAGCTTTGGTTCGGCTTAAATCTGAACCAAATTCAGGCTTGTTCAGTACCTGCATTGCAAAATCCAGACCTTGTTAAATGTCCCGTACAACAACGGGTGGTTTTGCCCCATTCCGTATGGTACAACGTGGACTTTAGTGAAAAATCCTGTAAGTGTTATCGGGTATCACATAATGGTATAGAACTTGTGCAGGAAACCTCCCAGAATTATTTATGGCATTATATTACAGGTGTATATCACCCCGCGGTCCCACCATCCCACTGAAAAAATACTTTTCATTACCTTCTATACTAGTAAATGTCTTCCAGGCATGTTCCCTTGCATTCAGTAGAGTAATGCAACCACATAGAACAGTCATAGAGTATATCATTTAATTATGCCTAAAAACATTTTTCATGTTGTAGAAAATGTCCATGGGCTTTGGATCTGGATGAGATATTTTTGTTTTGTTTCGTATTTATTTTTATGACAGAAAAAATCATTATGCAATATGCGTAAACACGTAGTGTGTGTGTGATACCCTTTTATACAGCAGGGCTTAGCATGTGGGTATCATCACTTCACTAGATAAACAGAATTTTAAAAAAAATCGTTAAATCAAATAACAGAGGTCAAAGTTTTCACTCACACAACTTGACAAACACCCTGTTGTGTTTCCACACCACACGGGTACATTGCCTTGTACTCGTGATTTAATAGAATAAAAATTAATTTTGGATATCTTACCCAGTGTGTCGAGATTCTATATATTGAATTTATACTCGAACGGATCATTTCCATAAGTCCTGATGGAAAGGTCCTGTAGTGTAGAGGTTTCTTTCTAAAACAAGCAGGTTCATAGCTTACATTTATACTGTGCTTATCAACTGAATATTATAGTCACAATCATAACAATTCATCAGAGATAAATTTTGAAGAGTACCCCCATTACACTAATCAAGAAGATGGGCTAGTTCTAAATAATTGGCCAAGAGAGACATTTAACTCAAAGTTGCAGCAAGAACATCTTCTTAAATCACTGTAACTCCTTTGTTTCTTTAGTTACGAGAGATAATGCTGACAACTCTGTCTGCTGTAAATGTCACATCTCTGCAAACCGCTCTTGAAATGTCTGAGGTGCTGAAGGACCTTACTTGGAGGAGTGAAGAGCTCTCTGCATCAGCTCAGGTGAGGACAATATCCATAGAGTCATACTCTGAATTTCAGACATGGTGTTGCCATGTATAACAAAGGGTATGGATGAACGAGAAGACACTGTGGTGGCCGATATCACCCTTATACGCACCTTATCATGTCCACGCACATTTCCCGTATAAATCTGTTTACATCATGTGTGTACTCAAATTCACATTTTTGTGTCTGGCTATATGTGTGTAATATGTATGTATGTGAATATGTATGATTGTGAATTGTGACTACCTATGTGTTATGTTGATAACTTCAAGGTCTATTCCCATCACTAAAGCCCCATAAGCTAATAATCACCAATAGGTGTTGAATGACTCTCTCTGGATCTGCTGCTATATTTTCTTGGACAATAGACTGCTGATGATTTAGAAGGCCTGGTAGATGCTGGATCTGGACTATGGACCAGTATTGATGGACTTACTCTCTACTTAAACTCTCAGAACCAAAAAGAAGGAAGGGGAATCTGAAGTAGTGCAACTCACTAGGGGTTTGCTCAGCTTGTCCCTCGTGGTTGCCAGAAGAGGTCTGATGGGGTCTGCTGTACCTTATGTAGTAACATTGTATCAACTGCCTGAGAGGTAATATGATACCCCTAGGGAAATAAAACTTTGTAACCTATAAGCATCATGCATCAAGCATCATCTTTATATGTTAGAATATTTTTGGGGGGTTTTCCTGCAGTGCTAAGAGAATGTTGTAGTAAATTCTTTATATATTTAGGGAATGGAATACAGTAGACATTTCAGATTTCCAATACAAGCACAGTTGTAAAAACATATTTATAAAAAGTGCTAATTTATTATTATTATTATTATTATTTTATTTTACGGTTACTATACCCTAAGTACCATAAGCACTACAGCTCATGCAAGAAATCTCTGGATGTATCTCCTGTTTTTTTAGTGGCTTCATAAACCTAAACTGAAACCCTGCCATTATCTCATCCAAAGGACATGTTGGGTACCTGGAAAGATGGGTGGAATCTGAATACACCTTAGATCAGAACTACTACAGCTGAGTGCAGTGGTTATGGTGTTTGGAGTGCTGCCTGCCTTAGATGGCAGAATCTCTAGTAATCACACAAGGGAAATTAAAAATGAAACCCCCATCATTAAAGTGATAGTGCTTTAAAGGTTTAATGTTTTTAGCATTAACCTCGGTTGGAAGTAGCGATGGACTATAGCTATTTGAAAAGTGCTCCACCTGCTGTTGCTGTAAGGAGTGCTGGATTATTATTTACTCCCAGGAGCAAAATCTTTAATCCCCTCCATACAGCAATTGGAATTTACTTAAAAATTATATACATTCTGAGCGGCATTTCATTGCGGTTACAGAGTTAGAAAAGCTGCAGATGTCAGTGCGGTCAGACTATGAAAACACACAGAAATAAAACTATTTAATTGCATATTGCAGCCTTGGACACTGGTACCTCGCTGTGATTACTGCAAATATCAATTTAAACAATATATTGTATTATTATTATACAGTTAATGGTTCCAATGTGCTCTACTCTGAGCACAGAGAGGGAGGAAGAAGTAAGAACAATGATTCTGTCCTGGTAATTCACTGAAGTCAAATGTACTGAATGAGGCCCGTTTATTAAGTAGCCACCACACGCTTTTCTCAATGTAATTAATAGTCCCTACTCAGGGTCCACAGTTAGGGACAGGAATGGGGACCAGGTCGCCCCCTATTATTTTTTACAGGCCCTCTCCACCATGGGATGGGACTTTTTTAGTGATTGGGTAGCAATGCACTTGGGGACATAGGGAGTTTTAAAACGTCCTTAATAGTAGTATGGTGGTTTTATTGACCCCCAAAGCTTTGTTTTTTTTAGACACCCTTTTAATGCAGCTTCAACATGGTTAACCCTTGCCCTGCTAAAGTTTTTTTCTTAACTATTTGCGTGCTTTTTGCTAGTGCGAAAAGCAATTGCTTTCACTAAAGTTCAACTAAAATTTGTATTTAGTCTCTAGTCATTATAAAATTGGTCCTTTGTACATTTTCCAAATACTATACTTACTATCAATATAAAGCACTGATTTGCAATCAGACAAAAGAAAAAAATGCATCCAGCAAATAGGTGGCCACCAAGAGCTCTGCTTAAAGGTGGGCGCTCGCGGCGACTTTGCTGCACATTTGGGCTGCCCCTCTATCAAGCTGGATTCATTATTTAGATTGTGCTGCTGACCATGTTACCGGGCACTAGAGAGCACTTACATGGCTGCTGACTGGCGCCCAGTAGTGTGTGATATCCAGGGCCGGATTAAGAGCCGAGTGGGCCTGGTGCTGACAAATATGACGGGCCTAATTACGGAATCTTATCAACCAAAAACACTAAAACAATCATACCTCCCAAGCGTCATGTATCTGATGGAGATGGTGCTGGAGGGAAACTCATATGATGTAGTTATAAGAAAACACATACTCTATGCTAATTTCTCTCTAATTTATGTTTTCATCTTTCAAGTAAATCCATAAACCCTGAGACATTGGGACACTGGGAGAAATGGGGACACTGAGACACTGGGAGACTAGGGGACACTGAGACATTTAGGGAAACTGGGAGAAATGGGGACACAGACACTAGGGACACAGACACTGGGAGACTGGTCTCCCAGTGTCTCGGTGTCCCCATTTCTCCCAGTGTCCCAATGTCTCAGTGTGTTCCAATGTCTCAGTGTGTCCCCATGTCACTAGGATACTGGGGACACAGTGAGACATGGGGACACTGAGAGACCCGGGGACACAGAGACATGGGGACATGGGGACACTGAGACATTTAGGGAAACTGGGAGAAATGGGGACACAGACACTAGGGACACAGACACTGGGAGACATGGGGACACTGAAACATTTAGGGACACAGAGACATGGGAACACAGACACTGGGAGACTAGGGGACACTGGGAGACATGGGGACACTGGCTGGAAGACAGACACTTGGGGACACTGGGAGACATGGGGACAGTTGTGGGCATAGACATGGGGACACTGGGACATATAGGGACACTGGGAGACATGGGGACACTAGGCACACTGAGACACTAGGAACACAGAGACTGGGAGACATAGGGACACTGAAACATTTGGGGACACTAAGACACTAGGGACACAGAGACATGGGGACACTGGGAGACTTGGGGACAGTTGTGGACATAGACATGAGGACACTGGGACATATAGGGACACTGGGACACATGGGGACACTAGGCACACTGAGAGACACGGGACTCAGACACTGGGAGACTTAGGGACACTGAGACACTAGCGACACTGGATGGGGACATGGGGACACTGGGAGAAATGGGAACATAGTGTCTCCATGTCCCAATGTCTCAGTGTCTCTCAATATTCCCATGTGTCCCAGTGTCCCCTAGTGTCTCAGTGTCCCCATGTTTTCCAGTGTCCCCAAGTGTCTCAGTGTTTCCAGGTCTCCCAGTGTCTGTGTCCCCATGTATCCTAGTGTCTCAGTGTCCCCTAGTGTCTTTGTCCCCATGTGTCCCCTAGAGTCTGTGTCCCCTAGTGTCTCAGTGTCCCCTAGTGTCTCAGTGTCCACATGTGTCCCCTAGTGTCCCCATCCCTCACTTACCTGAGCTGTAGAGCTGCTGTCTGGACTCTCTGTGCTGTGTTGCTGCTCCCCCACAGATCAGTAAGTAGTAGAGAGAGGCAGGGAGGGATATTCTGTAACTTCCTATCCCTGCCTCTCTCCACACAGTGACCCCTATTGGCTGGTGCTGGTATTGCAGAGTAATCTCCATTTATTCTGAGAAAAATACCTGCAATTGTATTGCTGCTATTACTGCAATACCGTCACGGCCAGGCAGCCTCAAATACCGGCTGTGCCAGTAAAATACCAGTCAGGTGGCAAACCTAAGAGTAGTGTGTAGTAAAAAAAAAAAAAAAAAATTTTTATGGGCCTATTCCATGGGCCTGGGCCTGGAGCTGCAGCTCCATCAGCCCCTATGTTAATCCGGCCCTGGTGATATCCACCAAAGCTAGCAAAGCCAAGCCCCCCTCAAAGTGATCCACTTGTGCAAGGATGCATTATTTGCTGCTCCAACCACTTGCCCTGTACGTGAGGACAAGGGGTAGTGGCATAGCGGGAATTGGGGCTATGACTGGGAGACTGAAGTTCCCCTAGACAGCCAGGCACACTGAAGATGCCTAAAACACATGAACAGCAAACTTATATGTGAAATGAAGGCAAGAGAGTTAATGGGACCTCGCTGTGTGTGTGTGTTTCAGAGAATCTGTGTCAGTCTGCTTCAGTCAATATGTTTGTGTATGTCAGTCTGCTTGGGTCAGTGTTTGTCTAAATGGATCTGTCTATGTCTGCATCCAGGCCCCGCCTGGCCATCGGGCATACCGGGCAAATGCCCGGTGGGCCGTGGGGCCGAGGCCGGCAGGGGAGATCACAGGATCTCCCCGGCCGGCTCCTGCAGGGCCAGCGCTACCCGAGCGCCGGCCCCGCTGTGTGCCTCCATGGGCCGGTGGGGAGATCAAAGATCTCCCTTTACCGGCCCAGAGACACTTCCAGGCGGCCGCTTGCTGGGGTGTGAGGGAGGGAGGAGAGGACCGGCGGAGCTCTATCCAGCAGCTCCGCCGGGTCCTCTCGCGGGATTCTGAGCGTTGCCGCGGTTACCGCGGCAACGCTCAGATCTCGCGAGAGTGAACTCTAGCCTACAGGCTAGAGTTCACGCTCACCACTAGGACCACCAGGGATCAGGCAGCATGGCTCTCCTCCCTGGCAGAACGGCTCCCCCCCGTCCCAGGCAAAACGGCCCCCCCCTCCCAGGCTAAAGGTAAGAAGGGAGGGGGGGGATATAACTTTTTTTTTAAATTATTATTATTAATAAAAAAAAAAAAATTAATTTAAATTAAAAAAAATCACACTCACACACATCACCCCCAGACACACACACAGCACCCCCAGACACACACATCACCCCCAGACACACACATCACCCCCAGACATACACAGCACCCAGACACACACAGCACCCCCACACAGCACCCAGACACACACAGCACCCCCAGACACACACAGTACCCAGACACACACAGCACCCCAGACACGCACAGCACCCAGACACACACAGCACCCTCAGACAAACACGCAGCACCCAGACACACACAGCACCCCCAGACATACACTGCACCCTCAGACACACACAGCACCCTCAGACACACACACAGAACCCCCAGAGACACACACAGCACCCCCAGACACACACAGCACCCTCAGACACACACAGCACCCCCAGACGCACACAGCACCCCCAGACGCACACAGCACCCCACAGACGCACACAGCACCCCCAGGCGCACACAGCACCCCCAGACGCACACAAGACCCTCAGACAGACAGCACCCTCAGACAGACA